GAACTCACAGAGATCCGCCTGCCTCTGCCTCCTGAGTGCTGGGATTAAAGGCGTGTGCCGCCGCCGCCGCCGCCGCCGCCGCCGCCGCCACCACCACCACCACCCAGCTAGATTCAAACTTTTTACATACAGCATTTGCAGCAACGCCATGTGTAGCTGTCGCAGACCTGACAGCTCTGTAGCAGCAGGAGGTACCATGGACAGCTCCACAGCCTCCACTCTTTGCTGAAGACACAGAAGGAAGATGACAACCCAGCACTGTGCAGCGGCCTCAGCTAATTCTGCCAAGTGACCAAGATTGTATAAAACAAAAAATGAAAATAAACATCAAATTCCCACAACGCTGTCTAGTGAGATAGCTCAGCAGGCATTAGCTCTTTCTGCACAAGCCTGAAAATCTCAGTTTGGATACATGCCCACATATGTATATCCTATATGGAAGAAGATGTGGGGTCACATGTATGTACTCCAAGCACTCCTAGTGAAAGATGGCAGATGGAGGCAGGAGAGTCCTTCCTGGGGTGGGCAGCCTAGTTTGTAGTAATGAGATGGACTCCGCTTCAAATAAAACCGAGGGTGAAGTGTGACACCTCAGGCTTTCCTCTGACCTCCTCACCTACTCCATGGCATACACATGCTCTCATGTACAAATACATCATACATGCACATGCACAAACAAATACACACACACACACACACACACACACACAATCACCGATGTCGGAAGTTTACAATGGCCCCATCTCTCTTGAATATTGATTTTCATTAGTGGTGAGACAGGTTGCCTCGGGCACTGGAGGTGAGAAGTCACAGAGCATCCTTGGGTGAGGCGGTAGAGATATGGTGCTAATGAGGTGAGTGTGCACACGTACAAGGTCATAAGTCACTGGCAAAGCACTTTCCAGCTGGAACAAAGCTAGCCAACAGGGAGGGAGCTTCCAGGTCAGAACCAACTTGGTCCCCCATGTGCTGTGACTAATATATGTGGTGTCTTCAGCAATAGGGTTTTGTCACTAAGTTCTGGTGAGTGTCTGAGAGCAACGGCAACAGCCTGTATTGTCCTGGGGACCTCTGGGACACCAGAGTTTAATTGGAATTGCCCCACACAGGGGATTATGCTCATCTGAGAAGCTATAGACTGCCAAATAAAACATCCAGTTCCAGGCAGGGATACCTCCCTTTGAGCTGTTGGTCAGAGGTGTGCTGGAGCCCCAACCATGTTTCTTTCTTTCTTCTTCTTCTTCTTTTTTTTTTTAGTTTAATGTATTTTAATAGCAAACTTACAGGAACAGTACAGAGGACAGACAACATTAAAAACATGTACTTGCATGTAGGACAACTCAGTTAGAAAAGCATAGTGAATGGATGGAATCTACTGTATGATAAAAATGCTACAAACACCATTTAGTTGCCGTCAATAAGAAATTTACTTGTTTTAAAAAATCCAAATGCTGGCATTGTCCATAAAATTTTAACAGTTTATTTATAATTGTTATAAAGTTGAACTGTTGAAATATGTTCACTGAAACATTTTGCTTGTATTAATGCTTTACATCTTACATTTATATTAAAAATTCACACACAAATGAAAATGGAAAAACTGCCAATACCTGATTTCTGTGTCCTATTTTTCCAATCGCAATCATATACTTAGGTACCTGTTGACCCCATGGAAAAAATATCTAACATTCAGAACTACTGATAACAGGAAGAAGAGGAAAAAAATTTCGAGAATGAAATGTATCCCCTCATAGTGTACTCTTAAGCACCTTCACCGCGTATGCGGTGTGCTAGCTGGATATCTTTTGGGATAATTGTTACATGTTTGGCATGGATAGTACACAGGTTGATATCTTCAAAAAGGCCAACCAGATAGGCCTCACTTGCCTCCTGCAAAGCACCAATAGCTGCACTCTGGTAGCGCAGATCTGTTTTGAAGTCCTGAGCAATTTCTCGCACCAGACGCTGGAAGGGGAGCTGGCGAATCAGAAGTTCAGTGGACTTCTGATAACGTCTGATTTCACGGAGTGCCACAGTACCAGGCCTGTAACGATGAGGTTTCTTCACCTCTCCAGTAGAGGGAACACTCTTGAGAGCGGCTTTAGTAGCCAGTTGTTTCCTGGGTGCTTTGCCACCGGTGGATTTGTGGGCAGTCTGCTTTGTAAGAGCCATGGTATGGGCACCTCCTTACTTACCCCCCTTCTCCTTCGGCTGGAGCTCTGTCCAACCATGTTTCTTATTGTCTCCTCGTGTCAAGGAGTGCTGTTGAGAGGTTACTGTCATGGGGATTTCTTGTCCTGTAAGCATCACCTGCTCCTTGTAGCCCAGGTTTTTAAGATCTTCCCTTTGGTCTTAGATTTTTTTTTTGACATTTGCTATTGAGTTCATTTTTCATCCATTGTGCCCAGTACTTACCAAATCTGATGGAAGTCCATATCTTCCTTGATTTGTCCTTCCATCATTTTCTGTTTCTGGTCATCGTGGTAATCGGGATAGAGTGTGGATTCATAATCACAAGTGTTTGGGCCCTTGGGTGAGGGTTCTGTTAAGAGGCTAAGTCATCATCTATAGGACATCAAATTATTCTGTATTATGGCACCTAGAGAGGGAGGCTCTGGAGTTCATTCAATAAACCTCAACTAATGGAGACCTCCTAGCTTTACTGAGGTCCTTCTCAAGGTGCATATGATAAATTAATAATAAAAATCAAATTTAAGCAAGGGGGCACCTGGATTTGAACCAGGGACCTCTTGATCTGCAGTCAAATGCTCTACCCCTGAGCTATACCCCCACTTATAGGTAAGGTAACTTCTCATTAGCATCTCTTCAACCTTGGCACCACACCCAGGTTCCTACATGTTCACAATCAACTGGTTCCTCCTAATGATCTTGACCTGGCAAGATTTTTCTATTAAAGTCTGCCCTCCACCCTTCTCTTCAACCTTAGTCAGTCCATCTCAATGTCCATTGTCTCATATGTGTCAAAGACATCACCTTTGTGCCTGAAACGGACACTTGACTGTGGTGTTTTCCTTAAGTTTACACTCAATTTTCCTTAAGTGGCCAAGACTAGAGCTGATGGTTCTGGGTTTCAATGATTGAAACCTTTTGCCAAAGAGAACTTTATCTGTACTCAAAGATATCAGGAGGGGGCCCTTTACTTCCCTTCATCATTCATTCACTCAACAAACACCCATGGAGCTTCCTATGTTCTGGTCACTATCAACCATGCTGAGGACACAAAGTGAGGTCAGCCATTCCCCTTTTCCTCCGAGTGTTAGTCTAAATAGGAGACAAATTCATGGATCCTAATCTTTTCTCAGAAGTAGCAGGAGCCAAAGCACAGGCTAGGGGGAGTAGCATGTAAGGAGTGTCCCTTCTGTGGTCTCAAGAGGGACTCTATACCAACTTCCTCAAGGACTGAGCATTACAGAGCCTTGGAGGCCAGCATATGTCACAACATAAGTGTCACCTGGATGTTTCTCAATGAGTCCTGTACTAGCCTCTCTCAGAGAGGAGAACAGGGACCAGGCCTGAGCAGAATACAGAGCACATGGGAACACAGTGCATTAGTCGCCTCTGTGTTAACCATACTTCAGATTTGGTCTCTTGTATCTAAAAGAGACACTAGGAAGGGGGCACCCGGATTTGAACCGGGGACCTCTTGATCTGCAGTCAAATGCTCTACCCCTGAGCTATGCCCCCATCTGCTTCATGTATATCTAATAAACATCTCTGAACCTGTGTGTTCACTCCCTGACATGTGCTAGTACTCTGCTGTCATCTGCTTTCTCCTGTGAGGCCCAGCCTTGAGCCAAATGCACACCTGTGTGCCTCCTCCTCATGACCAGCACCAGCCTATCCTAGTTCACAGCTGAGACAGAAGCACTAATGGCTGGAAGTTTGCATTCCGCTCATCCTCCACACCCACCCGGAGAAGCCAAGCTCAGGGTTGGGTGTAAAGTAATTGATAGCTCTTGAGGAATATAAAACAGTTTTCTCTAAATGTGTAACTCATGGTATGTCAATGATATTCCAGTGGATGGCCCCACACCAGAAGCTTGTTGATAGCACAAATGGGAGAAGACAAATCTTGGGGTGTGAGGTGGGATGGATCTGTGAGTAGGAGTTAAAAAAAGGCGTTGAAGGTGAATATAATAAAAATACATTGTATGAAATTCTCAAAATTTAATGAAAATATTTTCAAAGGGTAATATTTTTTCCTCAGCAATAAGGTCTTACCATTAGGTTGTGGAGAACAACCAATAGACTTGCGAATAAATGGTGCTGTTTGGGCGCTTCATGGAACACTTGTGGCTACCAATTCAATAAGATATAACCCGTTCCTGGCACTGGAGGTTTTACTTAGTGGCATTTAAATTCATTTCATATAGGTATGTATTTTAGGAATCTTCTATTGTAGTAGACTTCCAGGTAAGTTGTCAAAAGACCGGTGTTAGATGTCCCTCCCCACAGTCCTTCTCTTTCCCTTCTCTCCCATCCCTCTCCCTATTAAATCTTCTTATTTACCCTTATATCTAAATAGTACTTATTCTATTTCCCTTCCTTGGTAGATCCTCTCCCACCACATGGTTCGCTAATAGGTACCTAACCTCTGTGGTTATTTGGGTTGTAACTCACAGATCAAATGTTTAAAAGCTTACCTCCACATAAGAGAAAACATTCAATATTTTTGTCTTTGGGGTTATTGGACCTCACTCAGGATGATTGCTTCTAGCTCCATCCATTTTCCTGAAATTTTCAAAACTTCGTTTTTTAAATGGCTGAATAATTACATTATATAAATGTACCACATTTTTGTTATTCACTCATCAGTTGATGAATATCAAGGGTGTTTCCAATTTCTGGTTATTATGAACAGAGCAGCAATGAAAATGGATGGGCAAGTATCTCTTCAGTAGATGGAGAGTCCTTTGGGTAGATATCCAAGAGTAGTACAGCTCGATCTTGAGGGAGTCTGGTTCTCTGAAGACAGCACTTACTTACCTTGTAAAACATGGAGAAGTTAAACTGGTGTTCAGCTTCCTCATCCGTCTTGACAAGCATTCATGGTGCTTGAAGGCACTCCAGTAATTACCAGAGGAGAAAGGTAATCATCAATATCACCCAGATACAAACCCTGTGACCTATAACATTCATCTGCCTACAAGACATCTTGGTTCAATAGTGACACGAGTGTTATGGGAGTAATCACAAGTTTGAATTTATTATTATTATTATTATTATTTTATTAGTTTTTTGAGACAGGGTTTCTCTGTAGTTTTGGCAATCCTGGAACTCATTCTTTAGATCAGGCTGGCTTTGAACTCAGAGATCCCCCTGCTTCTGCCTCCAGAGTGCTGTGACTAAAGGTGTGTGCCACCACCACCCAGCACAACCACAACTCTTAAAACTTTGGGTTCAAGGCCCGCTCCATGAGATGGAACCCATATCCGACACTGCTACAATGGCCTTGAACCTGAGACTAGCTGGGGCACGAGCCCTTGGAGGAAATCCACTACTATTTTTTTTTGCTAAAGGAACATAGAAATAAAATGACTCCTAATGACATTCTGCTATTCCCATAGATCAGTGCTTTGCTCAGTCCACATCAGAGAAGCTTCTCCTTGCAGTAGATGGAAATGAACACAGAGACCCAAACTGGACAGAGAGTGACAGACTTTGGAGCCTTCAGTCCTAAATGGGATGCCTTCATCAACCCCCTCTATTCAAATCACAGGGTTCTACAGTGAAGAAGAGGTAGAATAGTTTTAAGAGGCAAAGGTGGAAGATGGCTCCAAGGAACCAGTGTCATCCATTTGTATGTTATTTTGCACCTCCTGCTCCTTTTCACTGTAGATCTGCAGAAGAGGATCAGTAAGAACCACATGACACAGTCAACACCAGGCTGTCTTGGAATCGCCTCTGACAACATTAGTCCAAAACTCTTCACTTTAGGCTCTGGCAGATTTCTAGTCAAGAGCAAAAGGTGGCCACATTATTTGTCAATCTATCATAAGAATTTTAGTATTCTTCCCCTCTGCAATCTTTTGAGCTGGAAAACCACAGCCACATTTCTCCGAGCACTACTGTTTTCTTAGTTACTATTAGCATGGCCCATAAACTCCACTTACACTATTCAACTGCTTTTCTAATCCAAAGTCCCAACATCTTCCATAATCCTCCAACAAGCAGCTAGGTCAGGTCTGTCATAGCAATAACTCAGGCCCTGATATCAATGTCTCACTTACTATTCTGTTACTATATTGTTACATATATAGTTATTATACTGTTGTAGTGCCATGAAGGAACACAATGATGAAGGCAACTTATAAAGACAGCATTTAATGGGAGGATTGCTTACAATAGCATGGGGTTAGATCATCATGGTGGGAAACAAGCAAGGCACTGGAGCAGTTAACTGACAGTTTACATCTGATCCACAAGCAGGGGGCAGAGAGTAAGACTGACCTGATATGGGATTTTGAAACCACAAAGTCCCTTCCCAGTGACACATCTCCTCCAACAAGGCCACACCTCCTAATCCTTCCTAAACAGTCCACCAAATGGGGACCAAACATTCAAATATATGAACCGATTGGGGTAGTTCTCATTCAAACCGCCACATAATTTTATGAAAAAAAATCCTTAAATTAAATATACAGAGTATTAGTAAAATGTGTGGGGAGAATTATATGCCTTATCAGACATACAAAGGCTATAAATTTTACATCCATTCACAACTCACATGAGGGGTTCATCTCCCAAAGAAGGAGTGTCATTTTTGTTAAGAAACATCCAAGATCAAAATCTGGGAAAGAGACACTGCTACACAGAAGAGATGGTGGAAAAGAAGAATGTCATGGTGAAGGAAGTCACAGGGCCCTTGACCATGCAGCAGGCCTTTGGGGACAACCAGAACAAAAGGATCAGGAGCCAGGTCACTCCTGGAAAACAGAAAGTAGAAATGTTCATTAGACAGTAGAAATGTTTCCATGCATGGAATATTATTCTGGAAATCATTTCATGGAGGACTCAGGGTGTGTGGAAGATGGAGATATTTAAAGAAAATGAAACAGTTTAAACATAAGACTACCATTAACTTCAGGAAAATCAAAAGTTCTACCCGATGTCTTTGTCCTGTTTAGAATGATGCACATCCACCATACACAGTGTTGACAAGTCATCATGATAAAAACAGAGAAGGTCATCCAACTAAAGGGTGGGACATGAATGTAATGGGAAAGTGAGAATGGAAGAAGACATGAAAGTTATAATCCTCTTCTACAAGTAAGTTAGTTACTGTTGTCTAGACCTGATTAAATCAGACCTGCCATCCCGTATGCATTTTACATAAGTGCACAGGATAGACTAGAAGAGACAGGGAAAC